TTGTTCCTTCATGTATATATATTTGAAGCATTAATTCATAAATAGATTTTGACATAAACATTAAACTCGAATCAAAATAATTTGATTAAAGGTAATATTCAATCATTTTAATATTGTCGTAAAGTAACTGTCTTAACGTATAAGAAAGTTATTTTCGATAATTTTAAAACGAAAGTATATCCTTTTAAGTGACACCTATTAAATACAATTCATTTTTAAAATTAAGGGATTGAGAAAAATATCATATTCTTTTAATTAAATTCATCGAGAAAAGACTGTTAGATCGAATCTATAGTCTCGTCTTGCGATATTTAATTAGTTGAATATCACTATTCTCATTAAATATTGGTAAAATAAATAATTAATCAATTGTTTGATATGTTTATTTATTTAATTTTGGCATGTGTTTTCAAAGGTTTTTTTTAAATGTTCGATCTGAAATAATTAAATATTATTGTTTTCAATCTTAACATTATTTTAGGTATTATTATTTTTAAATTTAGAATGGAATTACAATATTTCTTTATTTCGATTGGAGTAAGAATCGATTGCTTCAAGGTATGATAGATCGATTCTTCTCGATAGGAAATAATTAGATATTTTTATCTTTCATCCAAAATTTCAAAGAACATTATTCTAGGGAATTTTAAATTAAATTAAACTTGAATTTGTACATTTTATAGCAAAGACAATTAATTAATCGACTATGTACCGATTTAGGGCGTTGTATGGGTGTTAATCTTTCCCCACACGTAATCGACTCCCGAACTCAAAATTTGGTAACGCAGAGCACAAGTTTGTCGTTTTAATTAAAATTAATATTTTATTTAAATGACAAATATATTTTTTGGTGTTCAATCACACCCTAATCAAAGATTGGTGGTGCCTCCGCGAACTACGTTTTTATCACACTAAAATCATTTTCGAAGCGGGACCACCCCTTTCCCCATTGAGTAAAAGATCGTTTCGACAATCCCAAATCATTCTAGCTTTCTCTCAATACTAGAAAATTTAGTGAGTTTCTTGAGAGTTGTTTTCTCCTTTTTATCAAGAGATAATTGTTATTGTTTTCTCCTTGTTAGATTGAGAGAAGTTGTAATTCCTATTTTCTCATATTAAAATTCTTCTACCGTTGCCCGTGATTTTTACCTTATATTATTTAGGGATTTTTCACGTAAATTTTGTGTATTTTTTATCTTTATTTTTATTTTCTCAAATTATCAGTTGTGATTTTTTTATCTGATAACCGTATTCCGCAACAATTGGTATCAGAGCCAAATTAGAGTGTGTAATATCTACTTATTATCTTTGTGGTTGCCCCCAAAAGGTGGATCCTCCAACATAAGAAAGTAAGAATGTATTATCCATTCTTTGAAGGTTCCGGAGAACTATTCACGATAGTGAAATAGTGACAGCTATCCGTAAAAGAAGCTATGGTAACAAAATTTGATATTGAACAGTTCAATGGGAGAAATTTCTCATTGTGGAAATTGAAGATGAATGTCATTATGAGGAAATACGGTTATCTAGCGGCTATAAGTGAAAGGCCGATAAATTTCACAGATGACAACAAATGGAACGATATAGATGAGAATGTTATGGCAAACTTTCATCTAGCATTAGCAGGTGAAGTATTGTCAAGCATTGAGGAGAATAAGACAACTAATGAGATATGAGATCAAAAAAAATCCAGGAAATGCAAATTCTTGGGGTATGTTGATGATGTAAAACGGTATCGCTTGTGGGATCCCACTGCCCGCAAAGTGATCATTAGCAGTGATGTTATCTTTGTAGAAGATAAACTACGAAGAAAAGAAGACGGTGATAGCACTGAAAAGTTAGAGACTACACAGATACATGTGGAAAAGGAGTTTGAACAAGGAGATTCTTCTAAAGCAGAACCAGCATATGATGAACAAGAACCAGAGAGTTCTGAAGCTCCAACAACTCGTCAATCAAATCATGTGAAAAGACGTCCCAATTGGCACTCATATTATGTTATAGAAGGAAATATTGCATACTGCCTTTTAACAGAGGACGGTGAGCCATCAACATACCAGGAGGCAATAAACAGCTCAGATGCTTCACTATGAATGATGGTGATGCAATAAGAAATTGAAGCCCTTCATAAAAATAATACATGAGACCTTGTGCCACTACCACAAGGAAGGAAGCTAATTGGTAACAAATAGGTCTTCAAAATCAAGCGAAATGGTGACGATCAAGTGGAGAGGTATCGTGCAAGACTGGTGGTCAAAGGATATGCTCAAAAAGAAGGTATTGATTTCAATGAAATCTTTTCTCCTGTGGTTTGACTAACAACAGTTCGAGTAGTCTTGACAATGTTTGCTACATTGAACTTACATCTAGAGCAGCTAGATGTTAAAATAACTTTTCTTCATGAAAATCTTGAAGAAGAGATTTATATGCTCCAGCCTGAAGGTTTTAAAAAAAAGAAAAGAAGAACTTGGTTTGCAGGTTGAACAAATCTCTGTTCGGTCTAAAGTAGGCACTGAGGTGTTGGTATAAGAGATTTGATTCCTTCATTATGTGCCTTGGATACAACAGACTTAATGCAGACCCTTGTTCTTATTTCAAGAGTTTTGGTGATAACGATTTTTTTATATTGTTGTTGTATGTGGATGCCATGTTGGTTGCAGGACCCAACAAAGATCATATTGAAGAATTGAAGGCGCAACTGGCTAGGGAATTTGAAATGAATGACTTAAGATCAGCAAACAAGATTCTAGGGATGCAAATTCACCGAGACAGAAGTAATATGAAGATTTGGCTTTTACAAAAGAATTACTTGAAGAATATTTTGTCAAGATTCAACATGCAAGATTGTAAGCCAATTTCTACCCCTCTTCATATTAACTTCAAATTATCCTCCAGAGTGAGTCCTAGCAGTGAAGAAGAAATGATGAAGATGTCTCGAGTACCGTATGCATCGGCAGTGGGAAGTTTAATGTTCGCTATGATATACACAAGACCAAACATTGCACAAGCAGTGAGAGTGGTTAGTCAATACATGGCGAATCCAGGAAAAGAGCATTGGAATACAACAAAGAGGATCATGAGATACATCAAAGGGACCTCAAATATTGCATTATATTACGGAGGATCAAACTTACTTATCAATGGGTATGTCGATTCTGACTATGTAGGGGATTTGGATAAAAGCAAATCTACAACAGGATATGTGTTCAAAGTTGTTGATGGAGCTGTAAGTTGGGTTTCAAAATTGCAGTCAGTTGTTGCTTCATTCATAATATAAACAAAATATGTAACAGCTACACAAGCCAATAAAGAAGTAATTTGGTTGAAGAAGCTATTGGAGGAGCTTGGGCACAATCAAGAGTATGTATCTCTGTTTTGTGACAGTCAAAGCGCCTTGCATCTAGCAAGGAATCTAACATTTTATTCAAGGACAAAGAACATATGAGTTCAGTACCATTTCATTCGTGAAAAGGTGGAAGAATAGACGGTAGATATGCAGAATATCCACACCAAAGACAACATAGCAGATTTCATGACGAAGGCGATCAATGCTGATAAATTTACTTGGTGTTGATCCTCTTGTGGTTTGTCAGAGACGTAAGCACCATAAAGGTACAAGGTAGAAAAAATGGTGTGAAGATGTGATTATTCCAATCAAATCTTCAAGTGGAAGATTGTTGAAAATCAAAGGTTGGCACTGAATGCTGCATGAAAATCAAAGTTTGGCACCAAATGGTGCATGGTCAAAAGCAACCAACTTTTGTTGACAATTTAGTAATGGGAAAATTGTAAATTTAATCCCTACACTGTAGGGTATTTAAGATTAGTCCTTAAGCTTCAACTATAAATACCCTAACCCATTAAGTTTCAAAACCATCCCAAATCATTCTAGTTTTCTCTCGATACTAGAGAATTTAGAGAGTTTCTTGAGAGTTGTTTCCTCCTTTTTATCAAGAGATAATTGTTATTGTTTTCTCCTTGTTAGATTGAGAGAAGTTGTAATTCCTATTTTCTCATAGTGAAATTCTTCTACCGTTGCCTGTGGTTTTTACCCTATATTATTTAGGGGTTTTCATGTAAATTTTGTGTCTTCTTTATTTTTATTTTTATTTTCTCAAATTATCAGTTACGATTTTGCTCTATTCGATAGTCGTATTCCGCAACAGTTATTGGGGTTCTCGTAGGCGTGAAGCTCTATCTTTTTCCGAATTTTTCTGATATCGTTTTAATGAGTGTAGAGGGTCGGACGATGCCTTTAACTCGTTACCAGCCCATGTTTAACATCTATGTCGACATCATCCACGCCTAGGTAACAAGATCAAATAAGTGGTTTCAGGACTCAATAAGTATAATGTTGAAGTCCTTTCATGGAGGAAACATACCTGTGATTTTCTGCAACTTTGTTTTTAATTTCTTGGGACAATTACACAGCACTTAACATTCACTTTCAAAACACATCTCTGCAAAGGGGTTAAAACATATGCAAAAAAATAAAAAAATTTGGGGGGGGGGGGGTAGGGTGTGGGGAAAGGATTCATACTGGGACATTCGGAACATCTGCCATTGGAGATTTAAAAATCCTTCGCATAAACAAATGAAAATGGTTGATGGGATTAAGGGGAACCAATAATCTTTCAACTTAGATGTCAGTAAAGAAAGGAGTTGTGTAGTTGCGTGTTCCGTGAAGCGTGTCGATGGATATTTAAAAAGAAAATTTCAATGATTTTCACCTTCATTTTTGGCTAGAAAAATAGATACTACAATACTTTGTTGTAAAACGGAATAATATTATTTTCCATAATTGATGTAATAGAGAGAGATAAGATAGCAGAAAATCCCATTCCAATAAATACAAAAAATTGCCTTTAAATCAGGTTTGATTGATTTGCCTTTTTTTTGGGGTTATATTTGATTAATCCTAGTCCCAAATTAGAATTGATCATCCAAGTTCATACTCTACAATGGACATTTCACAGCATGCATTTTACACACATCTCCGATAATGCAAATAAAATATGTCGACACACAAACCAACATCAATTTGTGTATATTACAGCAAGGCGAGATCAGTGTCACTATCTTTGTCCAATTCAGAAACTATCTGAAGCAAAAGTATAATCTTAAATCGGATATTAGAAGTACATTGGATTTTTCAGCAATGCATTTCAGCCTCCCCGAGCTTCTCTTCTCGTGGCATCATGAAGCAATTCAATGTCAACTCCATCTGGAGGTAGCTGGACATATCTCACAACCGAACCTCTGATAAAACAGTTCCTTACTGAAAGCTGTAAACCGATTCAGCCAGTCAATGCAGACACAGCACAAGCAGGCAAACGAAATAGAAAAAGTAAACGCATAATTTAAAAAGAAAATATGTGTTAACCAAAAACCTAGCGAAATCCAAATAAAAAATTATCAACAGATTCTACTCATGCTTGCCACACTACGAGATCACTGCACTTTTAAACAGTGACATTGAGTTTGACGGGTTTATCTGGTTCCAACATAAGCCAGTCTTTCCAAGCAGCAAACAAGTTCATTATGGTTTAATTGAATCAGTGAATGATTGGTTTCCTTCGGTAAACGGATTTTCTTATTTGGTTAAATTGTGAGAATTTAACTGGAATGTCATTTGAGAAAATATATAACCAACTGGTGACATCACATTACCAACTCGAAGGAAAGTTGTTGAGCCAAATTAGATAATATGATCAAGGAATCTTACATTTCTGCAGGTAATGTAAAAATAACCCAATCCCAATGCCCCTACTGGTTCTTAAGCTTCAGTCAAATCCCATTGAACTATTGGGATGAAAATCTTTCAAGTACATGACAATGGGACGAAATTTTGTCAGGTAACACATAATATCGATAAGTTATATTTTGTAGTACAAACTACAAAGTGCAATGTTCCTGAATCTACTTTTCTTACTATTGCTCCATAACCATGGGCCAAAAAAAAGGAATAAAACATTCCCATAAAAATAAACTGCTTATGGAGTTTCATCTACGCATAAACCCTAGAGGACAAAATTATCACTATCATAGCACAAGGCAGAGACATAACATTCATGAAAGGCAAAAAAGAAAAAAAAGAGTAAAGAATGGTAGACAAAAAAGAATTCGATTTTAACAGAGGTAAAAACAAGCATTTTAGAAGCAAAGAAGTAATGAAGAGTGATATTTTTAAATTAAGATGAGAGGTCTTGGACTATAGGTAGTTCAGAAAGGAAATTTTTTACCGGATTCACTCACCACCTATATGGAAGTAAAACATTGGTGAATACTAGCTATATTCGTAAAGCACACAATGATAGGTATTCAGTATAAAATGAGCTAGATAAAAGATAACCTAAATAAAGAAAGGCAAATGTTAAAGGAAAAAAATGGCAACCCACTAATTCAACTTCCATCAATCTCGTGTTTACTTGATTTCTGTTTTTCTAAGACTAGACTAAAAAGAACCCTAAATCTTAAAGTAATTCCTTGATAAAAATGAGGCGGAAGTCAATTATATGAGGGAAGAAGGGGACATTACCATGTGAGGATACTTGTCTTGATCGACAACCCTAGTGTTCTCGAGCTTGATATTGAGGTATTGATCAACGGAGTGAAGGGTTCCTCTAATTGCCAAATCATTCTTCAGCTCCACCGTCACTTCTCTTCCCACTAAGTCCTTGAAATACGAAAAGAACAACTGCAACCCCCCAACAATGCAATGAACTTAATTAGAGCGGATCCCATCGGAATTAGGGGGAATAGTTATGAAAACTGATTTTAGAACACCTAAAAATCAAAAGAAGAGATTACTTGCAGGGAAAAGAGGGAAAGAAAAAAAAAAAGAAGAGTTACCATGATTTTGATCCCTCGGATCTAAAGGAGAGTTTACCGGGTTTTGTGGCGACGAGAACTTGGCAGAGCGTAGCCCTTCTATAACCAAACTGAGTGCTGCAACAGATCTGCACAAAGAAATCCAAATCCAATGACCTACTACCCCGTTACTTAATTACGGATATAGCCTCACCTTTTCATTCGAGGGCAGGGGACCTTTTCCGCTATTTTCATTGGTAAAATTTTATTATTGGCAATGGCCTCTGCACTGTATATGGCTATGAATTCAATCTTTATGCATTGAAGTAAATTAGATTAAAAAGATCATCTGAATCTCTATAATAAGTAATCGAAATTAGTGCCGGGATTATACCAAAAGAAATTTCAAATTTTGTACTTTTTGCAATTTAGTCTCGACTTAGATACTACAAGAGCAATATGACTAAATTATATCAACTTAAAATTATCAAATTGGAAAACATAAATTAAATCTTCAACTTATGTGTAGTACATGGGCTAATAGTAGAATTTGACTTTACATTTTTTATGACTACCATTTACTTGAATATCAAAATTTCAAAACAAGATAGGGTAAATTATGCCAATGGTCCCCTTTATTTTTGGTTTGATCGACTTTGATCACCGATTTTTTTAATTCAGTGCTTTTGGTCCCTTACGTTATCGGCTGTTCAAGTCATCAGCCGTTAACTTCCGTTAATGGAAGAGTTGACAATTTAAAAATAATAATCAAATCCACATAAGTTACCTTTAAGTGACGTAGAAATAAAAAATTATTTAAAAAAATCCAAAATGTTCACATGTTTCTTTTTCTTCTTATCTGCACGAAAGAACCTCCACCTGCTTTTTTTTTTTCTCTGCACGAAAGAAGTCCCACCCATATCAGCTCACAAACAACCCAAGAACACAAACTTCGTATCCTGAATTTTTTTTACTTCCATATCAGTTTTTGAGGTTTTTTTAATCACAAAAAACGTGGTTCAATATCCACGTTCATGTTTATCAACCTCCCACAGACAAAACCACACAAAGCAAACTATATATTTGAAATCCTCCCCTCTCCACCGTTGACATGAACTATGCTAAATTCTAAGTTTAGTGTGTATATTTATACTATGCTAAATTCGAAGTTTATTGTGCATATATATATATATAGACATATAGATAGATAGATAGAGAGAGAGCTATAGGTGTGATATTTTTTGCAGCAAAATTGGGGGAATTGAAATGGTCATGTGTGGTTTAATGTGAAGAAATCCTCCTCCTCCCTCCACCATTGATATGAACTATGCTAAATTATAAGTTTAGCTGCAATTCCAGTACACACAAGATGACTGTCTTATATATATGTCTCAAGTTCTGTCAAAACCACCATAACTTAAGAGCAGCTATGCATACAACACATGCAATGAATTCAGAAGTACCCATATACTAGATGAGGACAGATAATCTTTGGTGTCCAAAATTTTGAAGGGGAAATGGGTCGGGATATGGCTGGAAAATAAGGGAATGAGTTTACATGTGTGTATGTGCAAGCATGGATGACTGAGTTAGGCAAAAATATATACAACCTTCTGGAGCTGTTTGAAGCCCTCCTCAACTGATGTAGCCACATTTTTGGATATTGTAGTCTATTCGGTCAACAATAGTCCCCTGACTGGAGGTATTACTATTAGATATAAAAATCAGTTTGTATGGATAACATAACATAACATAAAGATGTGTCATACCTGGTCTATCATAAGGGGTGAGAGGTCTTTCATGATTTGAGCAAGCTCATTTACTGACTGGACAACCTGCAGAAATACCATATTCATTAGAGGGGGACTACCATTGAAACGATAAACCACATATATTCAAGTACCTAAGTGATCTCTCTCTCCCTCTCTTCAGTTGAGAACACACACTGCTTCAGCTTGCTCATTTGGTGCTTATTAAATCCCTGCAGTGATCACCCATCATGTCATTCACGCTAGAGTACCAGACCATAAAGGAGGTTGAATTGAACTATAAATGGTGGTTTTGCAGAAAAATTGGGGTAATTGAAATGGGTTTTGTGGAACTGAAATGGTCATGTGTGGTTTAAGAAGAAGAAAAGGCACGTGGAGAGCGGTGGCGGATGGCTGTCGGAGACGCCTAACACCGACGGTGAGAAGCGGACGGCCACCAGGATTCTAGAGTTTCTCTATTTTCTAATTTTGAGTGGGGGGAGACAACAGAGCTAAAAACCAATTTTTATTTTATTTTTAAACCCATGTGCAGAGGAAGAAGAAGAAATAATGGATGAAGGAGAAGAAATGAGATGAGAGGAAGAAGTGCACAGCCCATAAATATGTTTTTTTTTTTATTTTAAAGGGGTAAATTATGCCGATAGTCTCTTATATTTTTTGTCTTATCGATTTTTTTCACTAAAAAAAATTTAAGGGGAAAGGTCATTAACGCCATCGGTCCATACAATTTAAGTCTCTAATGTTATTGGTCTATTCAATTATAGTCCATCAACTATGTTAGTGACTTCAACAAAATGTATTTGAAATAAAAGGGGGTTAAATAAAATTAATAGCATATCGACTTAAATTAGATGGATCGATAACGTAAATAATATTTTTCCTTATTTTTTTCGGTGACCAAAGTCGGTCAGACAAATAACAAAAGAGATTATCAGCATAGTTTACCCTATTTTAAAATTACCATGTCACACATTTGTTAATGGGTTAATAGAGGTTAACATCTGAGGGACTTAAATCAGACGGATTGATAATATAAGAAATTAAACGCACTTAATTTAAAAATCGGTGACCAAAGTCGACCGAAAACAAAAAAAACTACTGGCATAGTTTACCCATTAAAATAAAATTAACCAAATTATATTACATACACAAAATATGATTCCATAATACAAGTACTTGAAAAAGAATTTAACCTTTTTGATTTATTCATATATCAATGGGTAAACTATACATTTAGTACCTAAACTATCTTATGACTCCTATTTTGGTTATTAGAGTTTAATTTTTTAAATTTAACGACCTAGCTTTTAAATTACTTCTAATTTAATCAATCTAACTTTAAAATTATTTTTTTATTTTAATTATATATTAATAAAAATAAAAATTGTCATGTCACAAAAATTATTAATAAAATAAATTAGAGTTGTTAAAATATGAACAATTTGAAATTAGAGTATTTAAATTAAAAAATTTAAACTTTAGTAACCAGAATAGGAATGAAAATATAGTTAAGTGATGAATCATGTAATTTACCCATAAAAGTTTCACGTGCAACAATTCCATTAAATTTTAATGGCGGATATTAAAATGAATCAAAAAGTAAATGTTAAGTATGGTTTTAAAATGAATGCAAGTTGAAATATTAAAATAAAACAAAATTGATAATTTAAATATTAAACTTGTAGTTTGTCCAAATGTAAATACATATTAAATAAAACTCATTAAATTAGCTGACTTTATTCCCATATATAATGGGATAAGGAGAGATAGGATAGTAGGCTGCCCCCAACGCCAGGTCGAGAGCAGCTTCCGTGGGAGACCTCCAGCATTATGAATTGCCTATAGTGGGACTCGATCCACAACCACAAGGTTAAGAGCCTTGCGCTCTACCAACTGAGATGGACATTCACCTATTTTTACTTAATAGATTACGGGTATTGATAATTTATTGATTATCAATTTTCATTCATATAGAAACAACTAGGGATGGGCATAGGTCGGGTTTTTTGGTCCACCCGAAATTCGACCCGATCCGAGAATAAAAAATCCTCCATCTGAGACCCGACCCGACCAAAACAAGTTTTCACCCGACCCGATATATAACTTAAAAACCCGACCAAAATAAGTTTTCACCCGACCCGATATATAACTTAAAAACTCGGCCGACTCGAAATAAAAAAAAATATTTTTATTCAGTAAAAACAACGACTTAATTGAAAACATATATAGAGGGGTATTATTGTAATTATTCCTAAATATATAATGTAAAATTATATATATTTTCGGGTCGGATATTTTTCACCCTAAACCTCAACTTGACCCGAATCCAAATTTTTATTTAAAAATCCAACCCGATCGGGTCAGATCGAAACCCGTCGAGTTTGGATTCCATGCCCATCCCTAGAAAAACATTCAATGTGATCAAAAAAAAATTAAAGTAACTATTTTATGAAGCATTAAATGTATTTTTTTTGTCCTTATACCTCCTCTAGTTATGTATTAATTCGTTTTTTATTATAAATATTATAAAAATATAATAAAATAAGTCACTTTTCTCTCAAAAATATCAAAATTGTTTATATCATTTTTCACTCATGATTGATGGATGATGATATCAACTAGAGGTATGCAAAAAAATTCGATCAAACCGATCCGATTCGAAAATTCGGATATATGATCCGTTTTCTAATTTTTGAATAGTTCATATCAGATATCTGAAGAAAAAAAATCAGATAATTTGATTAGATACAGATCATCTAAAATCGACTTTTGGATTATCCGAAAACCCGATAAGAAATTGGGCCCTTAAGAAGGTAACCCAACAATCCTAGCCCACCTAAAGCCCATTTCTGGTATGTGCTACGCCCACCTAATGCCCATATCAAATTTTAATTCAATTTTAAAATATTAATTTTTAAAGTTTTTGCCCTAGTCAAGTAACTTTCTTCCATTTTCTAATTCCAGTACACCCCCAAAGTTAAAATATTAATTTAGCATTTTCAAAGTATTAAAATTTAAAATATATCTATGAAATCATTTTTTATCATGAAAGAAATTAATGATACTTCTCACTCAAAAAATTAAAATTTATCATTAATAACATGTATTAAAATATTAAATTTAAAAATTTCAAATTAAAAATTATATTCGTTCGGATATCGATTATCCGATTCAAAATTTTAGATCGGATACAAAACGCAATTTTAGTGATCCAAAATTTTTGAATATCTAAAATTTCGGATCGGATAATATCTATATCTGAAAATGTACACCCCTATTATCAACCTTTGTTTCGATTGTTGTTGTTGATAATTTTAGTTTTTCTTTCAAATTTTTTATGTCACGTTTTTTTTAGTTTTTAATAACTATGTTTTGTGGTATTTTTTTTTGTTTTTACAACCATTTATTTCTATCTTATAATACGTTTTTTTTAAATTTATGACACATTTTCGATCGATTGAACGATATTTTAGTTTATTTTTTTTCCTTATGGTTGGATTTACATCGCTACGGCTAGTCAATATAGTGTTTATTTGTTATCATATTGATTTTCTTTGCTTTGGACACTTGGATTGAATTTGGATACACGATTTTATGTTTGTGATTTTGTTTTCACTTAGTTCAATTCTGATTTGAGATTTGTCAGTTATATTTAATTAGTTTTATCTCATTTTGTGGTTCGTTTGTCGATGGGGTCAAATTTATTCGCATCTATCTTTTTTTCGATTTTTTATTAGATTTAATTGTTTTCTTGTATGATCATTGTTTGATCTTAGTGACTAGTTTTTGTGTTAGTAGTTACAAGAAAATATTCAAATTATATGGTTAATTTACATGTTTATGGTTTTAAACATTTATTATAATTTACATGTTTCATCTTTTTAATAAAATTAATTGCTTCTATAAAAAATATAATAAAATATAATTATAAATAAAAAAAGTTATAACATTTGTAGAATTGTATTTTTTTTATTTTGTTTTAACTAATAATAGTTTTTACGTATATATTAAAATATAAACATGACATAATATAACATCAATATATATATATATATATATTATATATATATATATATATATATATATATAATATATATATATATATATATATATATATATATATAACATAAAATTATTCTAAATATATACCCTTTCGTCCCATAAAAATGTCTCTTATTTACTTTTTAAAAGTTAAAATTTTTAAACTTTGATCATTATTATTTTAAATAATTAAATTTTATAAAATATATATTTAAAAATTACTTGATTGAAGGTTTTTAAATTTTTTTTACATATTTTTATCAATAATAAATTTTAAATAATAACTAGTCAAAGTTTAAAAAAAATTGAGCATGAATCAAGACACATCGATGATAAATGAATAGTTTTTATTCATTGATATCTTAGGTTCGAGCACATGAATACTATGGATGTGAACGTTCAATATCAAATACTTACCCTAGATAAATAAAAAAAGAATTAAATTTTTAATTTCCTTATTTTTTAAGGAATATTAATGATAGAATTATTATAATGATATAATTTTAAAGGAATTAGAATTATTCAAGGCTATATTTGGTGAGTTCGAGATATTATACAATGAAACTAATATTAAATTTGTGGTCAAGAGATAAAAAAGTAATGAAAGTAATTTTTTTTTGTATTGATTTGGCGACGATGATAACTAATGACGATAAGAAGTTACCAACAGTGATAATGACGATTGTATCTGACGATGGAAGATTTTGGTTAAATTTAGGGTTAAATTGTTATTTTATTATAAATTAAAATAATTCTTTATCTAAAATTAAAATCAAATTAGTATTTTATTTTAAATTCAATAATCAAATTGAAAATTAATTCTTTTTAACTAATACGCTAACATGAATTAACAACTTAATTATACAAAATATAATAATAAATATAAATATCTAAAATTTAATTAATTAATAATATAAATGATTAAAAATATAACTTTTTAAATTTAATAAATAAAAATATATATAAAAAGTGATTAATTAACCCTTCAAAGAAGGATACAAATTTAGGGGGAGTTCCATATTTAAGCATATATAACCTAAACCTCCCATTGAAATGACCTTCGGCTTTAATTAGTCAACCCATATGAACCGGGCATTGTGGTCCCCACCAGATTTTTATAAGAGCTCAGTTCTAGTGTATCGCATTCCATCACACCCCTGGAACTCAAGATCGCATCAGACCCACCAAGTTTCAATCTTACGGTCCAGAACAAAACCAAAAGGGCAGTCGGAGTCCGTGAAGAATCCAATAAAGGACAGCGACCATGACAAGGTGTGTTTTTCAGGGTCCCCAGCCTCGATTCTCAAGGCATCGCTTGGCACAGATACCAAACCCACAGAAACTTTTTTCGATCCTTACAAAATCGGACCCATAAATCCAGATTTTCTTTCAATCTTAAAAATACCTTCTCTTTTGTTTCATTACCACTAAAAACGAAAGCCGGGAGGGAAAATCCAGGATCTTGAGGTCTAAAGATGGGTAAGTGTTTGGTTCTGTGTTTAAAAAAACTTCAAAGAGGATCAGAAATGTAAGAGGGGGGAATTTTGGGAATATAAGGAGCTGGGATTCTCTCCATAAAAAATAAATAAAAGGACAAATGGTGAAGCTTAGCTTAATGGCTTCTCATGAGTTCCCTCCTTGTCCGGTACTACTTCTTCATCAAGAACAAGGCGTCAACAAGATGATCAAGGTGATTTTCTTTTGGCTTGTTTTCTACTATTTCGATGATATGGATCTGGGTTTCGTTTTTTGTTCATATTTTGTTAATTCTATTATGTTTGATTGCTTGGGTAATTTTCAATCATTTTAACACGAGTATTTTCGATTTATTGGATTCTTTCCCTGTTCCTTAATGAAGTCAAATAGATTTTTATTAGAATTCTTGTGGCTCTATATGTGTAAATTGTACAAGTTACAAATTGTTGATATTTGATCTCATTCATCAGAAATTTGCAGCTATTTCCCCCTCTTTGCCACTAATATTTTAACGTATTAGCTTTATTATTGTGAAAATTATAGTGCTAGTTATTTGTTATTGAATGTTAAATTGTTTCCACAAACGCAGGAATGCGCATTCTCCTTTCCAAGTAAGGTAATGAAGCCAGAGATGATACAAACAAGTCCCTTCTATCTGAAGTGCAACGGAATCCAAGGGCAGCCAAAAACGGTTCCCCTTCTTTGTGAGCCTAGACTGATCATCAATGTTGATCCGAGAGCTCAAATACCTGTGGTTATTGATAAACCAGGTCTGCAACATGTGGCTTGTTCGTTGTATGGACTACTTATATCTTTTGCTATGTACTTGGGAAAGAGACTTAAACCGGTTATTGTTCTTAGAGTCTACAAAAACATATAATTGTCGAAACACCATAAAGAATGTTTGTTTATGGTATTAAGTTTATTAGTTTAACTAACTAACGATGTAATTAGAAATTTTTTCACCTAGGTTAGAGATTGTCCATTGGAATTCAAATTAAACCCAAATCTTTGGCATGATCTCTTTGGACTTGTTTGGAAAGAGTAAAGAGAAATGTTGAAATAAGCTATAGCATGAATATAAAAGGTGATTCTTGAAAGGATGTAAAAGTTTTAGGAGCTAGATTAATTGACTTCAATCAATAAAGTATTACAACAATTTTTTAGGGTGATATAGGCTGGGTATATTTAGTTACGATATCAGTTCCTTTCATATTTCTGCTCAACACGTCTCTGGTAGTTCTTGCCTTATGATTACTCTAACCCTGCTTTGTTTGCAGTTGCTCATCTAAACACAGCACTCTTTAGCTCCGGGATAGTGGAGAAGTGCACATTACATGAAAAGTTGTTGAAGTTTCTTATGCTTGGATTAAAGGATGTGGAGCAAGGGAAACTTGATTTATCTTTGCTATCTGATTTGATTCTACCATTGATGTTTGGTGTGCATCAGCAGCCTTATGATTCTCTACTTTATCCAAGTAGCGAATTCAATGTCCAAAAGCCTCCTCCAGACTTTGTAGGTGATATGGTGTGTGATTCAAAACTTACAGTTAGCTCAGACAGTCGACTTGTACTTTCGAGTAGTGGAACCGAGATAAAAGACATCCTTTCTGTCTTTGCTGAATTTCACTTATCAAGCAACTCAACTAAATGGAGAACGCGGTCGGGACTGGTCCCATACTTCTACTGGTATGGATACTAATACTTTTACCCCCTTGATTTAAATGAAGGGTTAAATACTCACTTGGTCCCTGTACTATGGCTTTCTTTCGCGTTGATTCTTAAAAGAATTAAAATTTGTAATTAAGTATCTAAACTTAAGTTCTGTCAGCAGAGACTCAACTCCAAACATAACTCGGTTATAATGTGGCTTAGTTAACTAGTGATAAAATGCTAGCTGTCGGATAGTTTCCTCGTCATTGGTGAATCCACTGCCATGTCAACATGAAGGAAGGCATACAGATTTAAAAATAGAGTAATTTCATGTGTTGATTTGGTGTTTACATGCTAAATGAGCAGCATCCATTTTACGAGAAGTGGTAGCTTTTTATTGGGTGGTTTTGCCATTTTAGCCAATTGGCTTAAAGTGTTTGTCAAAAGGATTAAAGCATGTGAAGGTCAAAAAGTTGTGTCGAATATGATGAAAGTGGTATAATTCAAGGCCCAAATGTGTTTTCAACTCTTCAACTGAAGGAAAACTATGCGACAAACAATATGATTGTGTGCTATGAATGGACCATATTATGGTATTTTGACTGTTGTTGAAAACTAAACTTAGAATAAAAAATTATTCCTCTCATCATTTGTATAACGGTCAAGTACATTAGGCTTGTGCTTCTGGTTTGCGGTTAACTAAATTTATTGCCGCTAAACGATACAGTAGATTTCATTGATGTTTGAAAGGCACGTGACCATAAGGTCTTCTGATTAAACAGGAAACGGAGCAAGAAAGTGCATGCTAGTACTAGCTTCTCTCCACGGTTTGAAGTTGGGAACGTTGCACCTCCAAAGAGGTATGTGACTGATCATATGTTTCAAGAATGTTTCATTGTATCCTTTTTTTTTAATAAATTCCCATTCCATGACCATAATTCTACTAGTTAATATAATGGAAAGTGTCAACTTGAAATGATTGGAAATTATCTTATTTTTGGATATTGAAATCTTTGCCTAGAATTTTTATGACAAAGGAATAATACCTTGGTGAATTGCAACTCTTCATTTATGTTAATTGCATTTAAGATCATACAATGGAAGGGACATACATTAATATATTTATTAAATATTGTAAATATGGCAGTAGTTTGAAGTTTGAATTATATTTTAATAGGCTTCTTCCAACTCGGCTATTGTCCACTAGATATGGACCTAAAATGTGGTCTATTCTTATAGATACATGGTTAAAATCAGGGGCGGAGTCAGAAAATTTAAATTGCGGTAACAGAGTTTAGAAAATTCTATAAAGAGTTTTTTTAAGTGAGTAGGGCAAACCATGGGTGTCAATTTTCTTTTAAGGGGCGCCAATCATTTTTAAGGTTGTGACTGTTCATTTATTTTTTTTTAAAAATGTTGATTTCATTTTTAATAAATTTTATAAAATTTATAAAGATTTTTATGGAACTCATTTTTGACAGTCCTGAGAAACTCAAGCTCAAGTCATCGCGAAAAAAGAAGACATCTAAGAAGCTAACCAGGGAGAGAAATCTCGACACAGCAAATTATTTCCGTGCATGTGAGAGCCTTCTTTCTTTGATGGTAAATCAGCAACGGAATGGCAAAACGACAATTCTTTGCTTGAAGAAATCGGGCCCTGAACTTCCTCAGCTCTTGACCCAATTCTCTGCAGGCATTGCTGGGACTGGTCTTGCTGTTCTTCTTTCTGTTATTTGTAAGGTAGCTTACACGAGAGCTCCATTCTGCACATCTAAACTCTTTAGCACCAGTATCGGGTTCGGGTTAGTTTGGCTCTCGTGGGCGGTTAACAGACTGAGGGACACAATTGTACAAATTAGCAAGAACACTGGCAAGTTGGTTCTGAAGGAAAAGGAGATGATCAAGAGAGTCGACAAAAGTGTTAACGACATCTACTTCAGGGTTGGAACGTTGATGGCCATGGCAATGCTAAGATTTGCATGAATTCTGAAGGCAACACATCTCAACTGTCTGAATATTTCCACAACAGAGCATTCGACATCAAGAGCAGGACCACATTGCCGACCAGTTTCTATGTTTAAAATAACCATCAAGAGCTGTGAATCCAGAGGAGAATAAAAACTTTGCATATATTTAAACTGCTATTCGTCCTCGCCGGAACCCATGCTACTCGGACTTCGGACATCTCACGATAATTGAAGTGTTGGAACAAATATAGGTGGGAGCAAACACATGAAAGTGATTACAACTGGTATTGGTCTTAAATATATTCTTCATGCAAAGAAAGATAACTGGATTCCGAGGAACTGCAGGATGTTCAAGAGGACTGTTATTTTCAAATATCTTGAAAAAAAAAACTTTTCAGCTGTGATTTTTGGATGTAGTCACGTAGAAGACTGAGAAGACATGGTGACTGCATGTGCACATCTGGAAACGAATGGAAATAATTCAATCCTCATCTTGTCATTAATTATAAGTAATATTTACAATTTATCCTAATTTTCAATCTTTTTGATGATGTGATGGTTCTGAATTAATGTGGAGAATAAAGGTTAGGGATTAAATTGAAAAAAATTCTGAATTTAAGACAGAATTCTTGGGCTATAAACAACACTATACCAAATAAGAAACAAAAGAAACAACATTCTTACCTACAAATAAAAGATCTACCCAAATCCTTCGACCATGTCGGAGAATCTACTGTCTTCGTCCCCTGAACAAACAAGTTGAAGAAATATTTCCTCCTTTCCCGTTAAACAAGAAAAAGGAAAATTCGATCATAGATTGAGTTGTGATATAGAATTTTACAGTGAATTTTAACATTTATATTAAAAAAAATTAAGAATATAAAATTAGATTATCAATAAAAAATATAAAAATATTTTAACTAAACGACAATTTAAATTATCTCATATTTGAAAAGACAATGTATATTATTATAATTTAAATTATCGTATGGATTGTCCACATTAATAAACGGTTAGAAGTGTGAAATGCCAAATTAAATTAAAGGAATCAAATCGTAATTTTTCTTATAATAAGGGGACTAAAACTAGAATCTGACCTATTCTAGTGTAAGAGTGGCGGTGAGTGATGATGAATCTTGCACTCTTTGCGTGCTTTGTGTAAAACTGAATAACCTCCTCTTCTTCCTAAAATATAATCTCTCCTCACTCCACTGCTGTCATATCTAATTCGGCAATTCAGGAGTCAAAGCAGTCATCGTTTTCTCCTAAATTGTGATCCCTGTTATGAGGAATGAATGTTGTGACCGAAGATCTTCATAGATAAGGGCTCGTTTGTTTTTGAGTTTCACTTTAAAGATGGTTCCATGGGGCGGTCTTACTTGCTGCTCGAGTGCAGCCGCTCTCTATCTTCTCGGAAGGAGCAGTGGCAGGTCAGATTTCTAACAATCTATCTTACAAATAAGGATTTCGCTAATGACTTGATCATTCTGATTATAATAAAAACATTGTATCAAAATGCAGTAGCGGAGAACTTTACTTATCCTTTGCGTCGCATTGGCTGAAGAGATTATGATATATTGTAACCTGTAGTAAAATCCTATACATAATATCTTCATTATTTTTCAAATGTGTTGGAAATAATTGGTTCAAAAATTGTTAATCAAATTCTATGCTGAATAATATTGGAACAGGGATGCGGAGCTTCTAAAGACGGTAACTCGAGTCAATCATCTTAAGGAACTGGGTATTTAGCCCCGATTGCCTCCTTTTATGTGATACTGGATTCCTTTATAGCTTCTAGATGTTTATAAGTGCCCGGTATTGTTTAATGTGCTTTTTTTTACAAAGCTTAGAAGGTCATGTGAGAAATGTGCCCTATTAATATTGATTATTCTGCAAATTAGTAACAGAGAACATCCTAGGTAAATGTGAATGTGGATATAAGTTCAATCTCCTTGGTCTTTATTGTTGCAGCTAGGTTGTCCCTATTAATATTGAGGATAAGCTAGCATTTCATGTTAATAAGTTTGATGCCATTAGAAAAAAGAGTAACTGATTAAAAATGGGTGCTGGAGACATATTACTATGTTACTTTTGAAAAGTGTTGTAAAAAGAACTTGTAAAAATATTTTTGAAAAGTGTAGTTTAAAATTTATTTGTTTGGGATTGCTGTTAAAAAGTGATTTTAAAAGGATAAAATGTTCATTTTAGACATTATGTTGTAAATTAAAATTAAATAATTAAAGATAAAAATATAATTTTACCTCAAAAGTGATTTTCCACAGCAAAAGCTAGAAATTTGAGCTTTTGAGATTAGGTTGAAAATCAATTTTCCAACCATGATTTTAAATCAACTTTTGGGTGCTTGGCACATTGCTCATGTGGTGTGAAAAAACACTTTTTCATTGCCAAAAGCATTCCCAAACTGACCCGATCAATTCGATTAATCCCCATCATTAGCATTTGCTAAGACATGTATCTTGATGATACCATATTTCTTTCAGCTCAATTTCTTGACCTTGAAAGTAAAATGATACCTATGATTGTTACAATCTCTGGAAGAGTTGGTTCTGAGACACCAATAAATTGTCAGCACAGTGGATTAAGAGGTGTCATAGTAGAGGAGACGGTAATAGTTTTTTTTAATTAAATGAGCTTTCACTTCTATTTCCTTTTTGTTATCCTTTTTTCTAATTGTATATGTAAATTCTTGCTTTTATGTCCTTAGGCTGAACAACATTTTCTAAAGCATAATGATGCTGGTTCTTGGATACAAGATTCTGCTTTGATGCTTTCCATGTGTAAAGAAGTCCCATGGTACCTGGTTAGAACATATTTCTCTCTGCCTGTTTAGTTTGACTTTTGTGCTGAAATTATTTCTCTATGATTGCTGGCGTTCTTAAGGTGGTTTTATTTTGAAGTCGCTTCTAAGGGGTTGTGTTGTATTGCATAAGAATTATAATTGTTAATATAGCAGATTTCCTGAAAAAAATCTTTAATCATTAATTAGGATGATGGGACTGGTCGTGTATATGTAGTTGGCGCTCGTGATGCAGCTTGCTTTGCACTAACGGTTGGAAATGAAGTATTTGAAGATTCAGGTCGATCAATTGTACGTGGAACACTAGACTATCTCCAAGGTCTCAAGGTATCTTTTTCCTGTCCCTAAGGTGTTTATTTTAAGGTGGCATATTTTTGGTCAAGCTGATTTGATGGCCAGTTTTTCTTTTAGATGCTTGGAATCAAGCGAATTGAGCGGGTGCTTCCCACTGGTTCTTCTTTGACCGTTGTCGGGGAGGTATGTTTTTAATTCGCAATTGGCTTTTTTCTTTATAACAAATCATGCAGAAATATCAACGCCGATTCAAACATACAGAAATGTCATTATCAATATCTTACAAGATATGCTCGATGCAGCCTGCTTTTTCTGATCCATGCTTTTAAGTTGAAATTGCTGGATAAATGAGCACTAAAGTATCTTATTCATATTTTTATGGTGGCAAATATTTTCTTTTTATCAAGAAAAAAAAAATGCTAGATAGTTCCATAGTAAATCGGATTACTTAGGTCTCAAGCCTAGTGCATGAATCATATACAGTGCTACAGGAAGAGAAGGCTATATTTAATTGTGATTGGATATGTAAAGTTTTATCGTAAAACATGAATGCTCGGTGCCATAGCAGTAATTTGACTTGGTGCCAGTATTTGAAGGCCCAAAGCACAGTTTTGGCTTTAACTAGCAGTCTAAGTTGCAGCTCCTAAAAAATAACAATATCTTTTTCATCAACAATTTCCGAAAGTTAATGGCCAAAAGACTTTTGTTTTCTAATATTATTTCTTTCATTTTTAAGATTTGTTTCGAAGTACATATTTTTCATTGACTTGCTAGATTTCTTGTAATAATTTTTCCTCAGGCAACTTTAAGCAGGTTATTTCTTTAGCATATTTAAGATATCAGCTTTCCTTTGAAGGTTTACAATTCCAGCTTTCTTTCGTTATTTCATTAAGTATCCACCCAGATAGTAGGTTTTCTCAACTTTGTGTAATATTCTCCCTTGTGGCTTTGAGATGGAAATTGTGGACATGGAAAGACAACTTGCATTTGGGAAAATCCAAATAATGAATTCAAGTTATGCAAAGAGCATCCTGAGTTAATGGTTTCAGATGATGTATACATGGTTTTTTAATTCAATGCTGTGTCATGCAAGAGGTATTCTAACATCATAGCTTTACATTTGATGAATCCCTCATGCTTTATAAGAGTGCTCACTTCACCTTGTATCATCAAAAGAATCAATACATAACTTATAACATCAGTTGATATTCAAAGGTCACGCTGCTCTTTTAATCTCTTTATATCATCATAGCTTTACATATGCAGCCTTTGCACCTTTGCTTAATCGCCCTGGACCATCACGCCATGTTAAATCTATATCTTGGCCATGTACATCACTGCCTGTTGGTGTGTTATACTCGAAGCGTCATATAATTAACAGTGCTGCTCTTTTTTAATGTCTAAATATAATGGAACTTTTATTAGAACTTTTTGAGTTTTAGATGTTTCATGATCTAGAAAGCTTTAGTTTTTTATGTCATTGTCTATATTTTGGTTACATGGTTTATTAACATTTTAGGCTGTAAAGGATGACATTGGAACAATTCGGATTCAAAAGCCACAGAAAGGGCCTTTTTATGTGTCCCCAAAATCTATTGATCAACTCGTTTCCCACCTAGGGAAGTGGGCAAGGTTGTAAACATTTCAGTCTCAATGCTTCCTTTATATCACATGCATAAATTTTGGTGATTATTTCAAAAAATGAAGAAATTAACAGTGGGTTACTTGTTAGGTGGTACAAGTACGCGTCAGTTGGAATGACTATCTTTGGTGTCTTTCTAATCACCAAGCATGCAATCCATTATATTTTGGAGAGAAGACGCCGGTGGGAATTGCGGCGAAGGTATGCTTAATGATTTTTTTGTACTACTTGTTGAGAAACACTATATAAATTGACCAATCTTTTTTTAAGAGGCATGTATTGATGTGTCCACTTCTGTTATACTGTAACAACAAGCTGAATTGTTAAAAAAATTTCACCCAGGGTTCTTGCAGCTGCAGGTAAGAGAGCAGACTCAGATAATGAAGGTAATTCTCCAGCTGTCTAATCATCTCTGAAGAATGTTATTTTTCATGTTTTTTTCTGTATATGATGTGGATATCTCAATAATGTGTAGATTCAACTTCGAATGCTGAAAATGGAACAGAAATCAATCTAGACCGTGGAATGCCAGATCTCTGTGTTATATGCCTTGAGCAAGAGTACAATGCTGTTTTTATACAGTAAGTCCCCTGGTTATATTTTCTTGATTAAAGCCTATAAAGCTGTTAAATCTCTTTCCTAGCTGTGATCTCTATACTAGTTTGTGCCTTAGTACTAATATTTGATTGGATACTACTTGCCTGTGAGGATAAAGGCTGTATGACTTTATGCTAATGCTGAGGTTAGGAAAAGAAAAGGAATTATCTACCAAATCAATTCTATCAATACCCAATCTGCTAGATAAACTTATGTTGACTATGAGTTTCAAGTAAGATGTATGCCTTTTGTTGGGGGCTAGGTTGTCTTCTTGATTTTGTTAAAGGCTTATCAAGTAGGTGGCCATATATTAGTAAATAAAATCTTTATTTGCATAAATTCAAGTTATTCCTTCTTTAAGAAGGATTGGTGTTTATCTCAATATGAAATGGGCAGATACTATTGACCAATCTGTTTTACTCTAGTAGCTTGTGAATTCCCTCTTCCTCTTGCTCAAGCTCGAGTCTCAGTCATTATGCCAACGGCATTTGAAAGGTTTCTTGGAAATATTAATATTTAAGTAGACCTATAAGTAGAGTTTGTGTAGATTCTTGCTTTCATTTGTTTTAGCAGGTGAGATGATACCATTGATCATATACAAAGTTTGGCTTCTGAAGTAATGTTTCTTCATATCCAACTTTAAACCCAGATTCGTACTTGTTTCTGTTTGAAGATCCACTCCTTTGGAATAATTGACTACTTGACTTGTAATGAATGAATGACCTATATTTTGCTAATAACATGCAGGTGTGGTCATATGTGCTGTTGTATGACGTGCTCTTCAAACTTAACCAACTGTCCGCTTTGCCGGAGACGAAATGAGCAGGTTGTGAAAGTCTTCCGCCACTGAAACCTTTCCTTATGAGATTTAATAAGCCGCAACCTGGGAAAACAGGGGTATTTGTCTTTTGATAAAAGGTAAGATTTCAATAGTTTACCATCCTTTTAACTAGAGACCTCCTGTCTGTAAAATAATTAGGTTGATGCAATTCAAAATATTATTTCAAATGATAAATGGTTGCAATCTAAAGACAGATACAGACGGTTTATATTTTCCCAACCCCACGATTGAATTGCAAATATTGTTTATTTACGAAATATGTATGATCAGTTAAGCTCCCTCAAATGTTCTCTCTTGAGCTTTGTTGATCTACTAGTTATTAGGGACAGCCCTTGGTCGTGTTTTCCCACATTAGTGGTTTGGTTCAAAACATCAGGAAACCTCCATGAAGCATTGGAGGTTTATTCCAAAAACAGAAAAAGAAGGTTCAAAAAGCTATTAGAAGTTTATTGAAACTTTGAAGTTTGTAAACTGTTTCAGAGATGCTCGAGAGGATATCTTCGAATAAGGAAGCTCGGGCAGTCTTTCATGGAATGGGAGATGGAACAAGTCGAGGTAGAAGCCGATTCACTTATTTTCTTAGAGGCGATGAACAGTGGTCTTGAGTAGATTACAGTTTTTCTTCGAGTTTGTCGTTTATTTCTGTTTTAGAAAACCTTCGGAAAAAAATATTCCTCATTCTCATTTATTAATTAAACAAGTTACAGTACGAAATGTAACAACTAACCAACTGCCTCTAACAACTCTAACAAATATAACTCCCTATTTCCTACACTTCCCATCAAATTGGAAACTAAAAATATTTTTTGATTCCCAACTTGGAACCAAGTAAAACTATGCTGTTGAGAACAAAGGGCTTTAGTCATCAAGTCTGCCAGTTGATCAGTTGTCTTGCATGTTCTACTCGTATTAAACCCTTTGAATCTTCTCCCGGATAAAATGACAATCTATCTCAATGTATTTGGTTCGTTCATGGAACACAAGATTAGATGATATTTGCAATGTTGCCATGTTGTCACAAAAAAGTGTAACTGATTCTTCTCTTCGAATCCTAAGATCCTTCAACAAGCCCACCAGCCAGACTATCTCTGATGTAGCAGCTGTCGTGCTTTTGTACTCAGCCTTGGCTGATGATCTCATAACCGTGCATTGTTTCTTAGATTTCTAGCATATTAAGGATTCTCTTAGTTTCACACCCAGAAACTGACCTCCTTGTCATGAGGCAGGACGCTCAATCCAAGTCACAAAAAATTGTTATCTAGACTTTGTTCGAAACCTTAAACAAAACTCCCAGACCATGCTCCTTTTTTACATAACTCACAACCCTTAGAACTGCTTCCATGTGAGATTCCTTGGGTTCTTGCATGAATTGGCTCAAATGATTTACTGCAAAACTGATATCGAGTTTCGTGTGCGTTAAGGATATTAACATGCCCACAAGCCTCTGAAAAATAGACTTGTCTTCAACACGTTGCTGTGTAACTTGATCATGTCTTGCCGTGGTCAACTTCAAGCTGTGCTCAAGAGGTGTTGCAACAGTCTTTGCTTCTCCCAATCCAGTGTCTTTGATTAACTCTAGGGCATACTTCCTTTGATTTTGCAAAATTCATTCCCTAGATCTTTGAACTTCGATCCCAAGAAAATATCTTAGTTCACCTAGATCTTTCATCCTAAAATTATGATTCAAAATTCTCTTCAAGTCTTCGATCATCTCACAATCATCTCCAATAATCAGTAAATCATCGACGTAAACAAGTAGAACCACCATCTTGCCATTGTGCTTCTTGAAAAACAATGAATAGTCGTATTTGCTCTGCTCATACCTGAAATTACCCAAAGCTTCTGTTAGCTTAACATTCCATTGCCGAGAAGCTTGCTTGAGACCTTATAATGACTTGTGTAGCCTACATACCAACCGCTCCCCCTGGTTGCAAAATCCCTCAGGTAAATCCATGGAGACCTCTTTATGCAAATCACCCTAAAGGAAGGCATGGAAGATATCCATTTTGATACTGTTGCGACGTCCCGAAAAACCGGAGTTGATTTTAGGGGTTCGTTTCAATTAAAAATAAAAATGTGATTCGATGGAGTTGCCACAATCTTTGTTTAGGGTGTGATTGGATACTCAAAAATATTTTGTTATTTTAATAAAATTTAATTTTAAAAAGATTATTAAAACAACATTTTGGTCTTCTTTCCAAAAAAAAAATAGGTTCGGGAGTCAATTACGTGTAGGAAATGGTTAGCACCCACACAACGCTTAGAAATCGATAACTAGTCGATTAATTATTATCTTTGCAATGGAACTTATGGATTCAGACTTATTATCTTTGCAATCAAACTTATGGATTCATGCTTAATTTAATTAATAACCCCTATTTAGTTAAATAAATACCATGATATTTAAAATCCAAGAGGAAAAATTAATGATTCAAACATCTAACTGGGGAAAGTTAACCAACTTATATGAGGAAGAATGGTGTTTCATTCCCAATTAAATCGTTCAATCACTAATCCCTTCAAAAACTTTAATTGACATTTCAACGTTTTGAATTGAGTGGGAATCACCACCTAATATAGGGTAGAGTGAAAATTTCCTAGAAAGAAACAAAGAATATCTTATTCATGGTATTTATTTACCTAAAGTTGTGCGACAAACGAGAATTTTATTAATGAGAATTATCGGCCTTTAAGATATATAGGGAATGTTCGAATATTTATAAGTATCGAACCCAAACCTCCAAATAAGATAGAGAGGCTCATTTTCGATAAATCTAAATAAGGAAACATTTCCCTTTCTACCCTTCTGATTGATTTTAAAGATTATCAATTTTATTTGTTTCACATGAGAGTGCTCGTTCAATTTAAATTATTGAATTAAACTACCCAGGTGGGTTAGGGTAATCTGCTTCGATAATTTAAATTAATCGTACATTGCCTTTTAATTTATTTTTGAAAGGTCAAATGATGCAAATGATGATATCATACTTTGAGATTAAATGTAAATGCCATGTAATCAAACAACATACTTCATAGAATATAAAAAAATTAAAATCAAATCAAAGAATCAATTTAATTTACATGATTAGATTGTGATGTCACCTTGAAAATGAATTTAAACCTTAATTTGGTTAATGACCCCATCATGAAGCTCCACAAAATTCCTAAAGGGATTAAAAGAATGAATGGTTAGTAAAGAATAATAAATAAAATAACATAAATAAATGAATATGCGTTAATAACAAAAGCATTAGAAAAAAATAAAAGCATTAATAAATACAACAATGATAAAAAAAATTAAAAGTTAGTATTTTAATTAAGAAACCTGAAAATAAAAAAAATTATATTCGAAATAAATAAAATAAATTAAATGACTAATATGGGATGAACCTGAAAAAATGAAAACAAAGAATGTTAATAAAAAAGAAATAATAAAATATAAATGTAAATAAAAATTAAACAAAACAAAGAGGACTGAGTAGAATAAATAAAAAACCCTAAACTCTTAATCGAAAGAAGCCTGAATATAAAAACAATATGTACTAGTAAGAATGAAACACAAAAATATTAAAATAAATAATGAAATAGAAAGGACCAAATGAAAATGAAAACAAAACATCATAACAGAAAATAAAATAATTATAAGTAAAGGGACGCGGACCAAGGACATGATTTCCCCGAAACCCTATCAGGCGCTAAACTGCGGAAAAGAGACTATTTTAGTATCCATGCAACCCTACTAAAACTACGGCTTTTTCTTGGAGGATGCTGTGTTAGTCTTGTGAAACGAATTATGGAGGTTGTAAGAAGTCAATAAATTTTGATAAAATAAAGGGCTGTCTGTCCTTATTCCCAACCCCAACCCTCAGTAAACACAAGGTAATTTCCTCCAATGGCATCTTCATTTCCCGAATTTTCTAAAGTAATCTTATAATACATTTTTTTTAAATGAACGAAAGGTAGGCAACCAAAACAAATGAAAAACGAGACTAAATATATACTATAATATTCTATAGATTAGTGTCGAGGAATCTCTTATTTGTTGGTCCGAATTTTTGACAATTAAAAAGTAGTATAATTTCGAGATTTTTATGTGTCTTTTAAGTTCACTGTTAGTGGATCGTTCATTTTTAAATTACAAAAGTTGCACATTTTTATTGTTAGTGGAACTCAGTCTCTTACCCATTCTTAGAAAAGTTGGTAGTTTTCTAAAAATATGATAAATTAAATAATAGTTTATTAGAATTTTACCTTTTTTAATTGGACAGTAGTATAAATGTATAATAGTTGACAGGGTAAATTAAATTGTTCATCACTGAATTATACTCTCTCTCCTATTTTCCTCACGCAACTTTCAATTTTTATATTTTGCTCATTGAACTTTGCAAATTAAATCATTTTGTTCACTCTCCCATTTTCTCTCTAAAAACAGATGATGTGTCATTCTTCTATCATTATTTAATATGAAACAATAAAATAAAATAAAATAAAAATAGAATGTGGTGGGATGTCACTGTCGGCCACCGTCGACCGCTGTAGATGGTGGTCGTTTGGTCCCAAAATGGGATGAGTTACTTCGCCTCGACGTCGTGAGTTCGAATCTGACTTCCATTTTGTCAGAAGTTGCTCCGAAGTCCACGAATTTGATATTGAAAAATGGGGAAACTGAAACGTTTCAGTCCAAATTCACGGGTTTTGGGAGATTTTTCGGTGAAACAACCACCAGATTCAGACTCAGGGGGTCGAGACGATCCGACCCATGAAATTTGGGACCGAACGACCACCATCTATGGCAGTCGACAATGGCCGGAACGAAAATGACGTGGTGGACGACAGAGACAAAATGGAGAAGAGAAGGAAAAAGGGTAAATTACACCATGAGTCATTGAACTTTACTCTCTCTCATATTTTACTCACCAAAACGACGTCATTTAGAGTATATTTGAGTTTATCAAAACGACGTCGTTTTGATTCCTGTTCCATGTCATAACACCATTAAAAGGTTAACAGCGGAGTGAACAAAATGATTCAATTTGTAAAGTTCAGTGAGCAAAATAGAA